GACCCAATGGATCATGGGTTACCTACTATTTTCTAACAAATGAAAGAGCTGGGAATTTTGCTAAATACCTCATTTGACAACCAAGAATGTTTGTTACCAATTGTGATCATACAACCAAGAGCAATATTAAACTGACATATACAATTTGTTCATTATCATTCAGAAGGACTAGTGGCACTTTGGATTCGAAATAAAAAGATAACTTTGGAGTATATAAGGGGTGCTTATGTAGCACCTATTTGCAACTCCTTGAAACAGCAGCTTCTTTTCCAAGGATCATGAAACTGCCCTCAACACTGGCAGGCTATTCCAGGAAGTCATGCTTGGCTTAAAGAGTTGTAGACAGGTACTGCACACATTTTTGACTTTGAATCCTGCACAGACCTACCACTAAAGGATATTCTTTTAAGACACAATAAGAATTAGGCTTCAATTCTAATCATATGATATTTGTACATGTATAGTATAGTGAGTAGCTACAGGCATCCACTAAATATCTATGCCATTTATCATTTTCAACTACTTCTGCTCCCCAGATTATGTCAGCAGGTGAAGTTTTTACTAATGAAAATCATTAAGCTTTCAGAATTTCCTACTTTTTATATTGTAATAATCACAAATCAAATTGGGATGTATTCTACAACTGGAGATCATTTTTCAATCTAAGCACAAAGAATTTAACATGGGGACAACCTGGTTCATATTATAAAATAGGATCTGATCTGGAAAAATATTTATGAATGGTTATGGTCTCTTTTGTCACACTTGTTTTCCAAATCAGAGAAATTACTAGTATTTTAATATGTTTTATTTCATAAAATTAAACAAGACAAGTTTTTCAATATATGCAATATGAACTGAATACTTTTCAGAAATTTTCAGTAGTTTTGACTGGTACATTTTGCAAAAGTTTCATTGTTGATGGCACTACTAAATACAATATTTTTAAAATAAATGTACTAAAATTAATAGAATTATTTTAGCCACTTTAGTACCTTTGCATCCTTTACAGCAAAAAAACTCTTCAGAAGTGAAATGTGGCTGGTTAATATTTAATCTAAGCTTTACATTTGGATTATATTAGTACTAAAGACACTTGGAGTTTGAAGCCTTTCCAAATAGCTCTACTTTTACTTATACGCACTCCATTTAGATAATAAAAGTGTTTTAGTTTCTGATTTCCAAGAATTCTGAACACAGAAATGAATATTAATGTATTATACAACTTAGCTATTTTATTTCTATCACAAAAGTATTGTAACCTCTTAAAAGATTAATTTCTTATTCCTCAAAATTTTTCATAAATACATTTTTTGTTTACGTGCTGCCTTATTTTTATAAATAACCTAAGCAGTGAACATACCAGAGGTGGTATTCAACCGGTTCAGATGAACCGGTAGCGGTGATTTGGCGTGAGTTGCTGAACCGGTGGCGACTCCTGGCTGACCATGACCCCAACCTGGTCGCCCTGTCACTCATATTTCCTGGTCGCTCTCCTAGCTTTTCCTACCATGTGGCAGCCGCAGTGCAGCTCAGGCGGATGTCCCGGGGCTGCTGCACATGCGCACTGTGTGTGCAGCCACTACACAGGCAATGCGCGTGTGCAGCAGCCCTGGGAGATCCACCTGCCTGCCCGCCCTCCCAGAGCATGCTTTCTTCCTTCTCCCGGCAGACATGCTCTTCCAGCCTGGCCTGGCCCAGCCAGCAGATCAGTGGGCGGATGTCCCTGGGCTTCTCACCCCCCCTTGTCATGAGATGCCTGCAGCTGCTGAGTGCTTTTTTCAGTGCGGCTGGAGTCCAGCAGCTACACCAAAAAAAGCATACCCTGTTCTATGTGCCAGGCCCGGCAAGTCCGAGCAGTCGGCACATAAAACAGGGAGGCACTGGACTGTTGGAGAAGCAGAGTAAAGCCAGAGATCAGTAATTTTCACTGCAAGAAGCGTGTGACTGCCGCGTGTTCTCCAGCCCCACTGAAAAAAGCACAACATGCACCGGCCCATTGGAGAAGCGGAGCGGCAGCTACAGGATTCTTGCACTGAAAAAGGGGTAGCTGGAGGCAACTCTTTTTCGGTCTCCAACCACCTCTTTCGCAGCGCAAGAAGCCTCCCCCAACTGTCCAGCTGCTCTCCTCCTTCTCTCCCTGTTTGTTCTGGGAGGTGGGCACTTCTTCTGGCAGCTTGCTCTCACCTCCTGGATGTCAGTTGCTGTGATGCCCCGCCTCCCAGCTGATGATCGGCGTGTTACTAGTATGCCATCCTCGATGGGCTTCCTAAGCTGCAGCAGCAGCACCAGAACGACCAGTGTGCAGATTCAAGATATGCACATTTCTCCTGGCCTGTGGCCAAGCACTGGGGTTGTGCCTTGGATGAAAGGTTGCCAGCGCTCTCCTTGGTTGCCCTCTACCTGATCTGCTTCAGAGATGCTGCAGCTCCTGTCACTCCATTTGTGCATTGGCTTATCCTGGAGACTGAGTATTGGATGAGTAATGATCTGTCTCTATCTGTGCCTGGCCCACCAGACCTTGCCAGCACACAAGAATTGTTCATGTGTCTGATTTGTCTCAGATAAGTGGCTTTGCACCTACATGGGCAAGTTACATGATTGTCTGTTCTTGTGCAAACACGCATGTTCACACACACACACACACACACAAATACAAAGATTAAATGGGGGAGAGCTGTCTTTTATACCCAAACACATATTCTTGCAGCAACCTGCTCTTGCACATGGATGCAGAATGGCTGGGAAGGGCGCTCTCTCTCTCTCTCTCTCTCTCTCTCTCTCTCTCTCTCTCTCTCTCTCTCTCT